TCACTATTTTAGAGTGCACTTCCTCTTATAAAAAAAGAGGTTTACTGTGAAACAGTCAGTCGGCTGTGTCATGCATCTCATGTTTATAGTGTCTTTTGATTACATCGAGAGGCCCAGTCAAGTACTTGACCTTGACTCTCTTTTTGTAGGTGTACTGTGTAATGGTCACCTGAGATCACCCAGAGACACAGTTCTCAAGTGACTCTACCATTAGGCATTGAATGAGTATACATGTGAATATACACATGTAACTGGCACTGCCATGACACAGTTCACACTCACAGGCACTAAGACCAGCTGTTGGCTTTCTTTTCGTTTTCAAATGTGTTTCAGGGACATCACTGTCCTCTGGCAGCATCTGTGCCAGAGCATTCACAGGTGGGAAGGTCAGAGCAGGATGCGTGCTGCAGGGCCAGCCTCTCTCCATTCACCTAGCACTGGTTAGTAACATAAAGCACAGCTACCACTCTTCGGGTCTGCTCAGGTTTGACCTGGCTAGGAGGACGCTCCGGACCTGGGCCTGGTTTTTGTACAGCTCTCAGACCTGACATCACATGGGCATAGCTGGTGCTGTTTTCTGGCCAAACCAGTGATACTCAAACAGGGACACACTTTAAGATTGGACCTAGGGTCTCATGCATGCTAAGCAAATGCTCTACCACTTGAACCATGCCCCAGTTCTTTTGTTTTTATTTTGTTTCTGAGATAGGATCTCGCTACCTTTGGCCAGGGCTGGCCTCAATTTCTCAGTCCTTCTGCTTCTGCCTCCCAAGTAGCTGGGATAACAGGTATGCACACCTTGCCCAACTTCACTAGACTCTTTAAAGTCCCCACCCAATGCAGGGCCTGAACATCAGCATCTGGCAATACTCCCTGGGGGCCTGCAGTGCTGTACTGTGCAGTGGGTTGGGTCGATGCCCATATTTCACAAGAGTGTTTAATTTGGAGCCAAGGGTCCTAGCTCCCACCTAAGATGCCCCTAAGACCAGGTCTGAGGTTCATCTGGGACACCAGAGAAATTGAGGCCCTCCCCTGGTGGCTGGCAGTGGGGTAATGCTGTCTTAGACCTTGAGCCCTGGATAGGTGCCCAGAGGTTGCCTGCTTTGAAGCCTATTTGAAGAAGGTCCTCCTACCTCAGCCTGTAGGGACAAGCCCTTCAAACTCTAGCCAGATGTAAGCACTTCCTCAAGTCAATCTTATCCAGGGAACCTCCCCTTATCCTGCTTCTGCCCTCTCCCCTTCTGGAGCAGGCACTAGAGGCTGAGGCCTTGCTCTATCCTGGCCTTACACAAACCGACACCCTTGGCCTTTGTGTAACTCAGAGCAGTCAAGCCTCTGGGCACACATTCAGGCCTCCTCTCTAGCTCCTCTCTCTGGCCCATTTCTCTGCTGTCTGACCTTTTTCTCCAGCAGAGAGGAAAAGAAAGGTGAGGGCCTTCTTGCTCCTTCTGAGAGACCATGCAGGACAGTGGTGAAAAACACAGCTCTAGAACCATCTGAACGTATACCACAGCTCCACTGTCTTGGCTGTTTGGCTTATAAGATAAGGGGCCAGTGACAGCACCCCTCTAAGTCTGAGCAGCCTAATCTATGGTGGACCCACAGGTCTACATGAGCTGAGTGTGTGTATGCGTGCAAACTGAGGGCAGATAGCCTGATCTTCAAGGGCTGGTTGGGACAGTGCCTGCCTACCTTATTCACTATTTGCTACTCTCCCTCTTTTTCCTGCCTCTTCATCTGTCTTCCCAAGCCGAGGTCTGGTCCTCAACTCCTCCCTTGCTCTTCCAGAATACCTGTCCAGATGGTTCCAAAGGACATTGACCTGTTTCTTAGAGATGTGTCTATGCTCCCCAGAAGAACTCAGCCTAGCAGAATATGGGCAACCCTGGAGCCCCTTCATTCTCCTAACCACAATGTCGCCATGGAGCACTTCACAAACATTACACGCAGTTCTTCGAATTTCCCATGAATTTTAGCATTGAATGCAATAATCCTAGCTGGTCGGTATTATTCTTATGTCCTTCAAAGGCCCCACAGCTGCTGATAAGGACAGTCCAAGTGTGTCATTCTTCCGAGTCATGCACCCTAGTGGCTTAGGACACAAGCTTCCTGAGTTCAGGTTCCTCCTCTGCCTTTTAGAGTACTTTGTCCTCATGCAAGGTGCAGAACCTCCTTGCCTCAGTCTCCTCATCTAGAAAATAGAGGTGTGATATACCAGCCTCCTAAGTTGCTGTGGTTGTCGAATAAAGCACCAGCACTGTTCCTGGCACACAGTGGGCCAGCATGAATATTGGCCATTAACATGATCCACCCACCTTCCTCATTCTAGAAGAGGAGATCTTTAAAGCTCAGAGCATAGAAAAGCCATGGAGTTGGTGGTCTGAGCCTTCAGTCTCTTCCTCTTTCCTACCTAGGGGCTGCTCTTTGCTTCTGCTTAATTAACTTTTTGCTCTTTCTTACCAAGCTCCATTCTCTGACTCAAGGAAGGGAAGAGGTAGGGAGAGACATGAGGCCCTTTCCTCAGACAGGAAACAGAAGGGTAAAGCCTTGCTCTGGGCATTCAGGGTTAGAAGAGGACTATCACCAGTCAAGCCTCTGGAAGAATCCTCACACCCTGCCTTCCTCCCCACTGCCCACCCCACCACCTGCTCACCCCCTGGCAGCAACAGATGCTTTCTTCCCAGTCCATTCCCCAGCCCTGGCTCTGTCTCTGCCCACTGCAAATCAGGGGGGCTATGGAGACATGTCTGTCTATGTCCCTCTGTCTCCTGCCACTGCCTCACCCTCACTCTACCTAGGCCAGACACTTAATACTGCAGCTCCTCCTGTGAGTCCAGTGAGTGAAGGAGAAGATGACGTCTGGAAGAGCAAGCAGCCAGCGACTGGGTGAATGAATGAGCAGTGGGTGGGTGACTTTCTTCCACAGGCTTGGATTCCCCACCTAAATTCAGGTTTTAGGAGTAATCTGTGGCTAGCCCTGATTGGGGGGTCCTGAGGAAAGATAGAGCCCTAGAGGAAGTCTCAGGGATGGCAGCCCAGTGGGGACAGCCAAAGCCGTTCCCCTTGTTCCCAGAGGTGCTGGTTTGGGGTCTCACAATGACACTTAGTTGGCCCACCCTACCCTCTCCCATGCTGGGCTCTGGACATGGGTTTTCAGTGTCCCAAAATGCCAGGCTCCTGCTTCCTGGACTCTTGCTGTGGATCCCCTAGCCTGGAATGTTCCTCCTCTCATCCACACTCCATTCTCACCTGCTGTCAAATGTTCACCCATCCCTTGGGCCTGGCACAGGGCCTCTCAATTCTAGCCTCTCACTAGAAATCACTTGGGAGCTCTTAAACATTGCAGTGATTATGGCAACCTGAGACTCTGATTTAATCGGTTTAGCTCATGGCTTCTAAAAGTCCCCCCAGTGACTATGAAGTGCAACCAGGTTCCAGAGCCAAGGATGGTTTCAACACCACCTGCTACTCCAGTGTGTCCCCATTGTCCTCATGGCGAACTCACTTCCTCCTCTGTGAGCACCCTGGGAAGAGCTTCTGATAGCACTGTCTGCCCCTCCTGGGGGCTTCAACCAGCACATCCCTGGTGGCAAACCTGTCTTATCCTCCGTCTGCCCACAGTTCAATGGATGGGGTTCCATTACAGTGCACACAGCTCCCGGCCATCCTGTTCCACCCTACCCTACCTCTCCTCTCCTGCATGCTGAGAACAGCAGAAGATCCACCATGAGACAGGCCATGCAGAAACAACGCCCCTGCACTGGGAGGTAGGTGCCCAGGCTCCAGACCCACCCATGTGGTCAGAAAAAGAAATGTCCTTAGCACCCCATTTTCCATCCCCCAAACAAGATGCTTGGACAAGAGATTTTTCAGATAGTCTTTGAGTATCTTCCAGTTGGGCACTCCTCTGAGCTCCTGCCTCAGTTTTCCTTAATCGATGGGGCCCTAGAGTCCATGTCCGTCCTGGCCTGCCGTTGGAGCTGAGCAAGTGCTGGGCTGGTGGGCAAAGCTGCAGGGCTGGAAGCAGCTCTCCCTCAGTCTCACTGAGAGGCAGCTGGCTGGGGAGCTTGGTCCAGTGGGGCCACTACATCTAACTGGACTGCAAATTAATAAAGTCTTCAAGCAGATGGAGCTCAGAAGAGTTTGGCAGGTCCAGAAGGAAGAGTGCATCCTTCTGGCTGGGGCCTAGAGCCCCATTCTCAGAGGACACACAGTCAGCTCTCCAGTGATGGGGCAGGAGAGCTAAGAGGGCCTCCATGATGCCCTCATGCCCTCAGCTCCCTTGGGCAAGGAGTGGAGGGCACCTTTGCCTTGGTGGGTTTTGGGGAGTCTGCAGCTGGAAGTTGGGAGGAAAGGGCTACACAGGATCTCTGGATCACACCAGGGGCTGCACCACTCTCATAGGAAATGTTGGGAGGCACTCCAGTGACCCCTGGGATTGGGGTGGTAAGGACACTTAAGGGGAAAGACTGAGAACTCTAACATCCTGCAGAGCATGGCCACATCCAGCGGAGGCTGTCCAGCTCTCCTTAGATCCTCACAGCCACCCCAGGAGGAGTCCTTCAGCAAACAGTGGTGACTGGGGCACCTGCTGCTATCTTCTGACCTGGCTTCTGCTAAACCGAGCAGAAGAAACAGGAAACAACCTCACCCTCTTGTCCCTGCTGACACCCTCACCTGCTGACCCTGACTGGGTGCTCTACAGCTCAGCTACTGGCAGCTGCATCCCTGCTGCCACAGACTCAGACAGCCTGCCAACAAGCTCCATGACAGACACCTGCCCAAGCCAGCCCCTAGGGGAGAGAAGGTGGTCACATCCAGCCACTCAAGGCAGACTGGCCCATGCAGGGCAAGCCCGGGGTCACTGCCCAGAGTAGATGCAGGATGCCATGGTCCCAGAGGGTGTCCCAGAGATAGGTGCCCCCTCCCCACTCTCTGCAAGGCAGAGCATGAGTCTGGCCTCATGTGCTGGGGACAGCACACCCAGCCACATGGCTCACCTGGGGAGGAATCGTTGAAGCCCAGCAGGTGGTTGGCCCTCTGGATCTTCTCCAGACACACGGCTTGCTCTTTTTTGAAGATGCAGTCAGAGTGCATGGTGATGGCCTGTAGGGACACATGGGAGGGATGGAAAGACAGGCAGGGAGGCCATCTACAAGCCATCCTACTAAACCCAGGGACAGAGTCCTGGCAGCACTGAGGGGAGAAGCAGGAAGAGGAGAGTTCTGAGATCTTGGGCTCAGCAGGGGTCCTTGCATCCACTCTGTCATAGATGCCATGAAAGCCTCTTCAGTCACCAACTCAATGTGTGGCCTGGAGGGCCTCCTCACCTTCCCTGGATCTCAGTTTCTACATCTGGTAATAATATTAGCAACACACAGCACTCTACTAGTGCACAATTGTGGGCAGTGTATGTATGTGAAGTGAGCCTCAAGCATACTATGAAGTAGGTACTATTCTTTTTATCATTTCTCATTTTACAGACTGGAAACAAGTAGAGATATTAAGTAACTTAATCAAAGTCACGTGGTCTAGTAGACTGGTGCCAGGATTTGAACTCAGGTTCCACAGACCACAAGCTCCTGCTGCACTTTTGTGGGTCAGGCAAGCAATGGATGGTTTAAGAGAGATCACCGTCCCTATCTACTGGGGTAACAGGGAACTGGCTCTCCCACTGCCACAGGCAATGGAGCCATGGTGGCATTCAGGTACCTCCTCACGTCTCATTTACCAAGGAAGAAAAGCAGGTTTGGAGACGTTAAGACACCACAGCCCAAGTCACATAGCTGCTTAGCAGCAGACACAGACTCCAGCTTGGGACTGAGAGCATTCACAGCCATCACTGCTATCAAGACAGCCGTGTGGTGATGCTGTAACAATAATGAAACCTTGGGGCAGAGGAGGAGATGTCCATGAATGTGGAGGCAGTCACAAGGCATCTGAGCTGCCAAGGGACACATTCAATCCTGCCTGCTCACAGGCAGCTCCCTGAGAGGGACAGGCTTTTTACAGAGGCAGGACAGGGGCAAGATGGGTACCCAAGGCTCTGAGGACAGGACAACCTTGTCTCTGCTGCCCCAAATTCCCGGGTCAAGTGGTAAAGCCAAAAGCTGGAAACCCTCACTTTCCCACTCCCTGTCCTCATCCTTACTCAGGAGGAACACCAGCAGAGGGAAGGCTTCTCAGAACAAAACAGGCCAGGCCTAATGGGTGCTGACCAGAAGATCAACAGAGCCTCTGTAGCTTTAACCAGGGTTGCTGCATGCAGTTGAGCAGGTTGTGTACTGCACAATACTGAAAATTACCACCCATCTCATCATAAATTGTGTAACAAATTTCAGTCCAATCAGTCTCTCTCCAGGAGCTTGAGAAAGTATACATCTCCAATTCACACAAAAGCACTGGGTGGTCCAGTGTGGGTCCTGGGAAAGAGACCAGCCTGGGGACTACTTTGGCTGAGGGCACACAAAAGACACAGGTTTTCTGGGGTGCATGCTCAAGTGGCCCAGTATCCAGAAAAGTTGTGGAGGGAGGTTGTGGGTCCTTACCACAGGCAGTAAGAGGACAGCAGCTAGGGAGACCTGCGGGACGCTGACCATGGTGCTTCTCAGCCAGCACACTGGCCTCCCGTTCCCAGCAGCTGCAGTCAGCCTCCAGATGTCCACGGGCTAGAGGGAAAGAAAGGCATGAGGCCTGAGATGAGGACCCAGCATGGCTCCAAGCCCCCAGCGGTAGCCCCTCTGGGCACACATCCCATTCCATTCCACTCGCCCATTCCATGAGCATGTGCTGAGCACCCAGGCTGTGCTGGGCACTGGGTATGTTGTGTGGGCACATGCTCACTCAGCCTGCCCGCCTACTGAGTATGGACTGGAGAAGCTCTCTCCTCTGCAGCAGACCAATAGTCTCCCCAAGTCTTGGCATTCTCTCCTTCCTCCACAGTGACAAAGTTTGGGCTGGCACATGGCACCTAAAGATGATATTTCCCAGTCTCCCTTAGTCTCAGGCCTGAGCACATGATCAAGTTGGCACGTATGGGATGAGACTGGCAGGGAATGAGCCACACGTGCAGCACTCATCCATGAGGGCTCAACACACTTTTCACTCCCACTCTTCCTCCCTTCCTAATATTGGACCCAGCTTTCCCAGTGTGGACAAGGATAAGAGCTGAGATGGTAGGATCCAAGATCACTGAGGGGATCAGTGGAACTGGGCCACCCCTCCAGCCTGGGTGGCCAACTTTACTCTAAGACCCTGGAAGCAATCAGACAGGGTAGAAGGAATTGAGTGGGGAGGTTGTGGTAACCTAGTTTACTACAAGTAGAAGAGTCTACTTTTCACCTAAAATTGATCATCAATACGTACACCCTGTAACCCGGCAACTCCTCATCTGGAAATATTGTTCTTGGACAGAAAGACATATATGCAAGGAGAGGTTGCATGTGTCTGTAATCCCAGCTACTTAAGGGACAGAGATTAAGAAGATGGTGATTCAAAGCCCATCGGAGCAAAAAGTTAGCAAGACCCAATCTCAACAAACAAGCCAGATGCAGTGGCAAGCACCAGTCATCCCAGCTACACAGGAAGCATGGGTAGGAAGATCACTGTCCGAGGCCTGTCTCAGGCAAATCTGCAAGACCCTATCCAAAAAAAAAAAAAAAAAAAAACAGTGGTTCAAGTGGTACGGGACCTCAGTACCACCGGGAGGGAAAAAAAAGGCAGCAAATGCAAGGCTGCTTACTGCAGCGTCATTTAAAATGGTATCTGCAATAGAAGAGGGGAGCACAGCAGCCATCAGGACGGCATGGCTGAGTGGGCCCTGACATAGCATATGGGAGCACTAAAGTTAGCCCCAAAGTATCATTATCATTAAATTGCTTGAAGAAAGGGTCAAGTAGGCCCACACTTGAGAGCACCACTATCCCACTAGTGCCTGGTTCAGGAGACCATAAGGATCGGAGCAAACCTGCCCTGTGTATGATAACCATGAGGCCTTACACATGCCCAGCATACAAACCTGCTGTTACCTCTGAGCCCATCACGCTCAGCCTAAACACACCTCCCTCAAGCTCTCTGGCTTCCCCAAGCTCAAGCTGCTAATGAGCAAGCACCCAAAAGGACAAATAAAACCATCCATAGAAAGGCTCAACAAAAGGGATCCCCTTCTGAGCCCAGCCCGGGCCTCACACAGAGATGCTGAAGGAAGCTCTGAGAAGCCCAGGGGACCATGGCCATGCTGGCTGGCCTCTTCTTGCAGGTCAGGGTGCACTGGGCAGGCTGTGAGTACTGGTTCAGCTCCCTTGGGTCCCCCAGGCATGAACTATGCCAGCATGCAGACTTCAGTCTCTATATCCCTCTGGCATGGCATTAGTGGTCTCTGAAGGGCTTGGTCACCTCCACCAGCTCAGGGGAGCCCAGGCCCTACCTAGCTGGGACAGAGGACTGCCTGATCCCAGTGACCTCAGTAGGAATTATAGGCCAGCCAAAGGGCAAGAGAAGCCATGTAAGGCAGGCAGCCTCTGAGATGAGGGTGACTCCCCCAAATCTTGAACAACATCAGTCCAAAGGCAGAAAAGCCAAACTGCTGGGCCCTAGCAACACCCTAACATGGCAGTAGCACTGCCCCTCCAGGACAGGGCTGCTCCTGGGGGAGACTGCCTGCCTCTCCCCAGCCTGGACTCTTAGTACAGCCTGGCTGCCCACAGAAACCACAGGCTCAGGGAGGCAGCCCTCTGCCGAGCTCGGTTTTCCAGGTGACATTATGAGAGTTAAATCACAAAAGGTCCACTGAGCTGCAGGCACTGACATGGAGAGCTAAGCATGAAGGACTCTGGTGGGAGAGGAGCATGGTAGAAATGCAGGTGAGGTCTGGCTGAGTCCTGATTCTCTCTCTCTCTCTCTCTCTCTCTCTCACACACACACACATGCACATACCCACACACACACACGTACGCATGCACACCACACACAGGTCCATAGAGATAAGCATGTAGACGTATGGATCCAACATAGACAAGAGACCCTTGTCCCTACCACTCACTCTGGAAAGGATCACTATAAGGTGAGGGCCCAACAGACCACACCATGCACACACTCTTGCCTGGAGACACAGGCACAGTCACAGAACAGACACATGTAAATGCAAGCACATAGCAACCAGGGTGCCCAGATGCTCCTACCAACCTGTGGATGTGTGATGACCCATACGCTCGATGGGTAGGTGAACCCAGATACAACATGGTCCTGGGAGATGCATGGCAAGTGTGCACAGGCATGTACATACATGTACAGGGAGGTCAGCTGGCAGGGCACTCATGCCTGTCCTTGGCCATAGCTGCCACAATAGGGACTGAAAACAAGAAGCTCCAGCCAGGCCCATCCCAATTTGCTGGGCTACCACCAGACTATTTAAACCCCACATGCACTAGGAGAGGTGTGTCCCGGCCCAGTGACACAGGGTAAAGGAGTTGGGGACCTCTCAGCACAGGCCTGGATTCTAACTGCTGCCTCTCCTGCACCTTGTAATGCAGTCCACCTCAACCCAGATGGACAGACACCTCCTGGCCAAGAAGGGGGCACTAGATACTGAAGTACCCAGGCCTTGACTTTCTTTCTACCCACCTCAGGGGACTTCCAAGTGATTCTGCCTTTTCCTCGCCCTACAAAGGCCCTTGCTGGACAGCACTCAGACTACCTGTCCAAACTCAGGGCTCTTCCAGGCATATGCATGGCTTCTCTGGCCCAGGATGGCTTTCAGAGATGTGTCTCCTGTGTCTGCCATCCCAGACCCTGTCATCTGCTCCTCCTCTGGACTCCCCCAAGCTCCCCAATGACCCTACCATGGGATGGGCCAGGCCACCTGGCGTGGGGGTTAGACACACTCACTCTGAAGGCAGGCATCAGGCTCTTTGGCCACAGTCACAAAAGAGCTCAGGATGACCTGGTCACATCTCCAAGCTCTCTCTCTCAGGTCGAGGCTTTGCTGGGCAGTGACTTTGAGAACAATTAAGTGCTACCTCAGAACATTTACTGGGGCCGGTGTGAGAACCACTTTCTTAGTCATTTGCCTTAGGACCCCAGGCAAGCTGCATTACCTTTCTGGGCTCCATTTTATCATCTATGAAATGGGAATGATTGCAATATGTATCTCATGAAAATTATGTAAATAGCTAGAAAATATACAATAGCCAGCACCCCATGAGGGTTAAACATGTTAACTATGGCTATCACTTCACCACTTCATGCCCAGGCCTTCTGTGCACTCTCGTCACCTCCCACCCAGTGTCACAGACTGGGAACAGTAGACCTTCTGCACCTTTAGTTGCTAATGTCCCATATTTCTTATGCACTTAGCATAAGCCAGGCACTCTTCCAAGCAGTAAATATGCATTAACTCTTGAAACCTGTGAACTTGGTCCTGACACTGTCCTGGTTCTATATGGGAGACAGTGAGGCACAGAGAGGCCAAGTGACTTCCCCAAGGTCATACAGCAAGCATCTACCACAGCTCAAAGACGAGTCTGAGGAGCACGGCTGCAATGCTTATGCATCCCTGGGCTTCTGTTGTCTGTTAGGGGTAAAAGGAAGACTGGCTCGGAGCTCACCGGTAACTCATTGTGACCCTTCAACCCCTCAGGGGCTGCTCAGGCGCTCTGCTATCCCCTGCCCTGTGTCTATAAAGACGTGGACATATCTGTACCTATTTCCTAGAGTTGTTATTAACACACAGTTTCAGTTCTGAAATCAACATTAAAGGCTGCCTCCCCATAGTCCGGGTGGGGAAATTGAAGTCAGAGTTAAGGAGGAACTTCCCAAGGTCACACGGCATGGGCACTGGAGGCTTGCCTGGCAGGAATGGAGTGTGTGACAAATGCCTGAACTGGAAGGAGTTGGGGGTAGAGGGACTGACAGGCCTTTCCCCTCTAACGGGGAAGGCCTGTTCCTGCCAGGCCCCATAAGCTCAGCGGCCAAGCAGGAGCAGGAACTGACAACTGCAGCTACGTCGTACTGTGAATGTGGCGCCAGGCAGCCGTGCCCCCTGCACAGGGCAGACGCGTCATCAGTCAGCACACTGGAGCAAGCAGTGACTCACCAGGCTCCCGACTTTCCATGTCAGAGGAGGAGGGAATCTGCAGACCCTCCAGCCATCCCTGCACTGCACAGAGCCCAATAGAGCCCTTCTGCAGCTCCCCAGTAGGGACCAGGCTCTCCTGTCATGAGCCGCTTGTCCCTCCATGGTGGCTGATCCAGAACTTCAGTGGGAGCTCTGATGTCTCCCTCCATCCTTCCCTGACCGCAAAGGGGTATGAGGACAGAGCTGTCCCCTCTCTCTCCTCTGCCATAGAGTCCTGGGTCCCTCAAGTATCCTACACAAGGCTGCAGCCACCTCAGCCACATCCTTTTGGGACCCACTGGTTGCTTAGCATTCATCCCCCTCACCAAGCAGTGTCAAGCTTGGAAACAGATAGAACACAGTCAGGAAACAACTGTCACTCACCTCCCCTGCTCTCCACATGCTGCCTTTATTAATGAGACCACAGCAGGACCTGCCCCCACTTCCTCCTCTCCCTCCTAAGGCAGGGAACCAGGGAGGGAGGACTGAAAGATGAAACACTACCCCCTATTTGCTCCCCATCAAGGGGAGGAATGATGGGGAGTTCTAGAGCCTCTTTCCTCCTTGGTAAGACTAGAGTCAATAAAGAGCCAAGCCCAAGGACAGGGACTTCCTGGCCTTGGAACGAATCATCCATGCTATTGCTCCTCCTTGGTATCCAAACCCTTCCCTTTCAGATCCATTCAGGTCCTGTCCACAGTAGGTGACAAGAGATAGGCCACCAGATGGGCCCCCTGCGATAACCCCACTCGCACCCTGTAGTGTACACATTTGGTGTGACTTGGGTGGGGAACCAGGACGGGCAGTGCTGGGACTCATGCATGCTTACTGGCAGTATCTTGCTATTCCACTGATGAGGGCTGGGGCCTCAGGAGACCACGGTCACACAGCAAAATCCTCCAAAACTGTCCTGTGAGGAGCCCCTTTCATACCCAAGAGTCCAGGGACAGCTCCTGTTCTATGGGGAGTCCTGGACAGCTGCCCCATCCTAGGCCAGAGAAGCGGAGAGGTAAGGAGAAGGCAGAAGACAAAGGACGAGGGACAAAGGACAGAGGGAAGGGAGGGGGGAGAGAAAGAACTGGGAGAAGTGGGAGTCAGGGAGCCATTGCCCATTGCCTATGGATAAAGTTTACTGCATACCTTGGACAGAGTGCAGCTCAGGACAGGAGTGGTGGCCAGCCTGGATGAGCACTTCTTCACGTGCAATGACTGTGAGTGGGTGTGAGCCCAGCTCTGCCAGGCAGAGTGCATACGCAGACACATGGTGGCTGCCCAGAAAGCTGGTGTGAGTGCTTGCTGGATGGTTTGGGACTGTGACCAGGGGTGTCCAGGGGCACAACAAGACATCAAGATATGAGGAACAGTGGGTGGAAGACTGGGGCCATCTGGGACCTGGGGACAGTGGAGGGCTGTACCATGAGGAGAGATGGATACCAAAGAGTTCTGGGCAGGGGGAGAACATAAAGCTTCTGCCTAGGGAAGAGTGGTGAGCAGAGAGGTATGCAGGTGAAAAGCCACCAGGAGCCCCTTGCTGGACCAGGGCAGAGGTGGTAGACATCTGGAATGGAAAGAGAAGACAGAACCCAGAAACTTAGGAAAACTGGAGAGAACCATCTCCCTAGCCCACCTTCAGGCAAGTGATAGGAAAATGTCCCATGTCCAGAAGAGAAGAAACAGAAGGCAGAGCAGGCTCACTACACAGCCTCATGTGAGAAGTGGGGAGATCCCCAGGTGCAGGCAAAGTTGCTGTGGGTTTGTCCTCAACCAACTTTGTGCTGTGTCTCTTTGTCGGGGGAAAGGTGAGGACATCCAAATAAATGCTTAAGTCTAGGGAGAGCTGGTAGGGAGCACAAGTCCAGCCAGGCCTCAAGGTCAACTCAACCTCCAAACTCCACCTCTCAGAAGCCCTCCCTGACTGTACCTGCCCTCCTCCAAGCTTCCCAGCACTGAGCAGACGATCCCCTCTCTCCTTTCTCAAGTATTTCAGGTCTTGTCACATTCACTGAGAGATTCAAGTCCTGTATGGAAATGAAGGCTATGATAGGCTTCAGGTGGTCTCTCTCCCAGTGGGGGGCACAGACCAGGGCACAGAGGGTAAACAGGAAAGGGGACTCAGTTGCTGCTTGACAAGCTCCGGTGGTGATGGCCTGTTGTCCAAGTCGCCTCAGAATGGGCCACATCCTATAGATGCAGTAAAGGCCACGCAGAGTGGAGTGCTAGGCCAGGAGATTTCTCCTGAGATAAACCCATTAGACAGACAGGAACCATAAGCTCCAGGGGAAATGCAGTGAAGCATCCAGGGTGCCCTCTGGACTCTTGGGCTTCCAGAGCCCCTCTTTCTTCAACCTCTTTGGTCCTTTCCCTTTTCAAACCTTGTGACCCAGGCACTGGCACACCCTTCCTGCTAGTTGGACCCAGCCTGTACCCTATTTTTCTATAGCCAGCCTGTCAAGAATGGCTTGTACATTTCTACTTGGTCAGAAAGAAGAGAAGAACCCTATTTCATGCCACATGCAAATCACATGAAATTCAAATCTTCAGCATTCGCAAATAAAGTTTATCAGAACATCAGCACGTTTTGTTTTTGTTCACACATCCTCTATGGCTGGCTACAGTTGCTTTCAGACTATAAGCAGCAGAATGAAGTCACTGCAGCAGAGTACAATGCCACAAAGCTTAAAATATTTACAAGACTTACAGAAAAAGGCTGCCGACCCTTGTTCTAGGCACATGCGCGCGCGCGCACACACACACACGCACATGCACGCACACGCACGCATACACACACACTTTGTCTATTCAATTAACATTCAGCATCTGGTCTTCCTCCATTAGGAAGACTTTTACTATCCCAGGGCCCATCCCTGAGACCCCAGGTGTGCCCAGATCTGTGCAAGAGGTTATTTGGGTTTGTCTTTCTGGCGTTGCATGTCTCTATTGTGCTCCAGCTCCTTGGCAGGTGTCATGGTAAGCCTACATAACTCCCCGGTTGTGTGTCACTCCCTCTCTGTGTGTCACTGTGGGGGTGGCTGTCACTATGTGCCTCTGACGGCATCCAGAGCTCGGTACAAACACATCGCTGCTGAAGAGCCTCCAGCCTCCATGTTGCCAGGCAGCTGGACCACGAAGCCCAACCTGTTCAGACTCTGGAATCACAGTCTTTTATTCAGTAGAGGCAAGGTTTCCCGAGGCCTCTTGTCCTTCTAGGCCAGAAAGCCCTGATGGTAGCCCCTGTCTAGGGTCTCTATTGGAATTCTTCCCTAGGACAGGAAATGCATCATCACCCCTGAGGGCAGCTCCACTGTGGGTGGCTCTCAGGTGAGCAAGGCCCTCCAGGCACTGAGCTGAGTTCTTGGTCTGCACTTGGCATACCTGGGTTCTGTCCTCAGACAGCACAAGGTGTCCTCCACAATGCCAGTCCTAGTCATTGAAATGTTCATACCTTGGAAGCCAGCAACCTGGGACAGTCAACCTAAGCCGTGTCCCCAAGGGGAAAGCCACCTTTGTAGCCTTGGCTCCTGTCTTTCCCAGCCTTTCACCACATGCAATGATTTGTAAACACCCACCACATGTATTTACTTTCAACACACAAGGAGAGAGCGTCCATAGTAGGAATGAGGCAGAGAGAGGTTAAAAGTGAAAAAAGATGGGTCCTGAAGTGTTCATTCAATCAACCCCCAACAGCCTGACCCTCACACATAACGGATTAGTCCTGAGAGTGCAGTAAAGGGCCCTTCCAAAGGCCACCCCCACAGACACATGTCCTCACCACACAGAGGACCAAACACCCAGGGATCTTATCCCAGACACTCCACACCCATGAGCCACACGGATGGCAGAAGAGGAAAGCGATGGCATCCAGCTCTCCACACACACTTGTTGATGGATTGTTTGGAAGATCTGGCTCAGGGCCCACCCCAGCATGTCCTGCTCTTACTTGTGTGTTCAAATTTCAGCTGGTGTCCAGACTGGAGCCTCTGCCTGCCCCATCTTAGGTCAGTGAGGAACAGAAGATCTGCACTCAGCTGAGGGCTCCACTAATCCCACCTGCTCCCAATGCCAAACTCAGAGTGGGGGCCTCCTGAGCAAATCCCATCCTGCCTGCTGCCTCAGCCCCTAAAACTCAAACTATTTCTCATCTTCTTCAAAGCCCACAGCCACCAAGGAGCCTTCAGGCTGACCTTCAGGATGCTTGTCTGCCCCCTGGCCAACTGCAGTCCCAGAGCAAACTGCTGCTCCACATCCTGAGTGCAGTCCCCTCCAGCCCACCCCCCCTCACCCCTGCTGTCTTGTTTTCGTCGTTTTGGGGGGGTGGGGTGGGGGATGGGTTATGGTAGTCTGATGCACCTGCTGAAAGGTTCTGAAGAATCAACAGGAGTCCACCCCTCCCCCCCGCCAGGATGGTCTGGAGGGGGGCCTGAGCTCCTTCCTGGAGTGGGGCTCCACCACCTAGCTCCGTGAGAAGTGCCTTCATCCCCTGCCCGGTGCGCTCCCTCCTGGGGGTCTAGCTTCATCCACTGCTGCCTGGTCCCTCTGACCACACACACACACACAACACACTCGCCCAGGTCCAGCTGAGGACCTTGCCCCCTCCTGCAGCTGCTGCAGGAGCCTGGTCCTTTAAGGAAGCCGGCGGGGGTCCGAGTGGGCCCACTTCAGCCTGGGGAGGCAACGTGTTTCTCCCACAGGCCCCGCAGGGCGTTTCCTTGAGGGACCGCCAAAGCCCAGGCATCCCCGACCCCAACCCCTCCGTGCCGCGGGAAACCCAGAGACTGGCTCTTTTGAACAATCGGAATGTAAAACCATAGGGGGCATTCTACGCTGTCACCTCCCCCACCTCTACCCGCCACATCGCTCGCCCACCCCTCTAACTGTACCGACTGCATCACCTGGCCAGGGGACCCCCTCCAGCTTCGCCTTCCGAATCCCCTTGGGCGCGTCTGCCTGCCTTGGGGAAGGGAGGCAGGTCCTTGGGGTCCCGCTGGCCGCAGTGTCATCCTGCCTCTGGTTGTCACTTCCTGGCACCGGCCTCGGCCGATCTTCACTCCAGTGGGCTACAGGGATGGTCGCCCCAGGCAGTAGCCCCAAACACTTGGAGGAGCAAGGAGGCCGGAGGCGGGAGAGAGAGGTTCCTTTCGGGTTCGGGAGCTCTGCCTCCCGCTGGCTTGCGCCTGCTCTCGGACAGTGGAGGACGCGGCTCCCCTAGACCACCGGGCGGGAGGAGGGGGTCCGAGGTCTCCGCTGGGCGAGGATCTGGAACTGGACGAGGAAAGGCAGGGGACGGCCCTTACCTGTTCGCTGCGGGCCTGGCTGCCGGGCCGCGGGGCTGCGGGTAGGCGCGGGGCAGAATCCGCGGGGAGGGCGCGCAGCCAGCGAGTCCGCGCCGGGCGCCGCGCGGGGATGAAGCCGTGCGCCGAGGGGCGCGCGCTGCGCGGGTCTCCGCGTCAGTGTGGCCGCAGGCGGCCGGGGTCCTGTGTCTGCGTGGCGGCGTGTGCGTGTGCGCACGCGGGGACCGCGCTGGTCCGGAGCCGCTGTCGCCGCCGCTGTCAGTCACCGCCCGGTGCCAAGCGAGGCGCTCCTCGCCTGCCTTCGCCAGCCCCACGCCGCGCGCGGCCGCCCAGCCGCCTCTGTCCCGCAGGAGACGCCGCCTCCCTCCGCCGCGACCCAGGCCGGGGCCCCGAGGGAGGCGACCGACCACCGCCTCCCCCGCGGCTTCGCAGGCTGGGGGTGGGGTGCAGGCCAATGAGCGCCCGGAGGCGGGGTTAGGCCAAGGGCAGCAGGATGAGGAGCGTTGTGGTGACCCAGCTTGCCGCACCGACACCAACAAGAGCTGTGGCGGAGACCCCACACACACCAGGGCACGGATGCGGAGGTGACAGCCACCCCCAGCTCTGTCGCGGAGCTTCTGGGCAGAGTCGGCCTTCCTGGGGCTCACTGCCTTCCTTTTCCTTGCTTGGCATGACATCCGGAGTGAAAAACCCTCTAGCTTCTCCTCCCCAAGACCTTGAGCCTGTTCTTTTCCCTCCTTTGGGAAGCCTTCCATTCAAGCAAGTCCCAGATCCTCCTGGGGCTTCTCTGTCCCCACAGCTCGGGTCTAGGAGGGTTAGCTGGTTTGGAGGTCCCTATCTGAATGTCCTCAAATTTTGTGTCCTAGAGAACACTTCCATAGCCAGAAAAGAGGTGGGGGTGCTTACAGGACAGAGGTATCTTAAAATAAATCAGACTTCTGCATGCCAGCTCTGTGAGCGTGGGTAAAGTGGCTTGATCTCTCTGAGCCTCAGCTTCTTCACCTATGGTAGAGAATCAGTACCTACACCAAAGGTCTTGACACCAGCATTCAATAAGAATAATGCATGCACACCATAATAGGTTTCCACTGTTTTCCTTTATTTATTGGTGCTGAATAAATTACTATGGTTACTTATTGTGGTTCTGCTCAATTTTCTCCTAGTACAAATAGGTATATTGAGGCTTAATGAAGGAGACCATACAGATCAAGGCTGCATAGCCAGTTGTGGTAGAGCCAAAGCTGAGAGCTGTTAATCACCTATTCTCAGGCAAGTGCATACATACCCTCAGCCTACCCCAACCCTATCCCACAGTGGCTCCTGCTGGCCTCTGCTCTGTGTGTGATCACTACCCCAGGTAACAGCAGCCCAGGTGCTCACTCCATACCCCATCTCCCCAGTTCTGCCAGCAGGCTCTGTCCTGGCCCTCCCTGTGGGCCCAAGTCCTGTGGCCATCTAGTTGAGAAGTCCCCAAGGAGGAAAAGATGAGGAGACAGTCTGGAACATTCCCTTGAGGTGCAAATCTGACTGAAGAGATGACTGGAGGATGAAGAAGAGCCATGCAGAAACTGTGAGGAGGCACTCTGAGGTCTCAGAAAGTTGCCTGGAGTTCCCAAGGTGCAGACAGAAAATCCACGATCCCTCCTTACCACCCAGAGAGTACTGGCCTTGCCACCCTCCCCTTTGTTAGCAGGCGTGGCTCATGTCCCACTCAATCCAAGAAAGCTGCCCAGAGGAGCGTGCCAGTCTTCTCCATATCAGGAACACACAGACTCTTTTGGAGACTGGAGGGCTCAGTGCTGCCCTGGAGTCAGACAGACAGGACTCCTCTCCAGAGCAAGCTATACTCCTTCCTAGCCTGTTGCATAGGCTGAGAGTTGGCTTCCCTCATCTGCCTCCAGCCTGAATGCTGGAAAGATCAAATGACATGCCATGTGTGAAAGTGCTCCGTAAACTGTGAGGGTAAGGCACAGCTGCCAGGAACTTGCAAATCAGGAGGAGTTGAGGCAAGGGAGTGTGTGGGAGGGCAGGGATCAGGGTCACCTATAGCAGGCCAGCTGATTCCAGCAATGTGGATGGCATGTTCCCTGAACGAGGGTCCCTAGACTTTGCAGTTCTGCATCCAGTGTGTGGTTTATTTTCTGCTCCAGGTCTCACTCCAGGTTCCAGGTTCCTTGCCCTCTGTTCTGTGTTCCCATGCTTGATGTGGGCAGTCAGTGCAGTTGTTGTGGTGCATGTCTTGAGCACACCTTCCTCTCTCCCTGGTCTGCCAGCCAAGTAGGGGAGGAATCCAGCCATCTTTTTTGCTCACACCCATCCCCTTCACCTGTTCTCCCTTTGTTTCAGCGTCTGTGGCTGGAAGGTGAGCCCCTAGCTGACTATAACTACAGAGCGGTCAGAGCTCTGGTGTTATTGGTGTTATTACCCAAAGGAAAGGGCAAGGGTACAGTGGGATGGAAATCCATTGCCCACAAAACCAGGTATGCCCTGAGTCACCCAAACACATGCTTTTTTTTTTTTTCCTATTTGATTCTCCTAGGGAGGGGGTCCTCTTGAATTCTCTTTAAGGTACTAGATAACCTAGCAGCCCTTATAGACTTGGCCTTTGGTCCCAGCTTCATCTATTAGTATTGTCCTGAATGAGGCATGGAAAGACATATTGCCGCCAGAAATCAGGTAGGTGGCTCAGCCCAACCCTTCCCTATGAATACAAGAGCCCAAAGAGGCAACAGAATTAGCCTGAAGATACACAGGTGACTTTCTTACTAGACTGGGCACTTATACCTCACACCCTGGTGCCCAGCTACTTGTCTTCCTACCTTGTGCTTTCTTCCAACGCTCTGGAAGCACAGGTCAGCTTTTGTGTTTTGTGTCTCTGCCTATTTCAGGCATTTGACTCTGGTCTCCCTAAACAGTCTTGGCCCTCTGTGAGCAGGAGTAATGCCATTCTGTTCCCTCTAGGCTGAGCACCTCCAAGGACAGGGCCAGAGTCTCTCTCCTCTCTACTCTCTCTACTCACCCAAAAAGTCATATTTGTCTCAAGTTCTGACCTTGACCTTCCAAGCTAGGCAGTCCACCATTCCTACCAGGCTTTGGGAAGAAAGACCAAGGGTCCCCTTTTACCCCCCAGGAATGGTCTTCTCCCAGAGTCCCCTTGAACCTCCTTCCTTTCACTAGGAGAGGGACTGGAGGTCTCCTCGCCCACATTTCCCTACCCTGAGGTGCTCACTGCCTCGCCTCCTTCCACAAGCCAGCCAGCCAGGCGGGCAGCAGCTGAAAAATATGGGTTTTAATTCAATTTTCAGAGACATGGTTGAGGGAGATGGATGCCAGGTCACCCTACCCAGCATTCATCTCTCCCGAGCAGCAATTCCCTGTGTGACTCCTGGGCCTCAGCCCAGTCCAAGTCTGGCGCCACTCAGTAGCAACAGCACCTTGGAGGACACAGGTGTTTTATGGTAGAGAGCTGATATGTACAGAATACTCACTGTACCTGGGGCCAGGGCTTCTCAATCCTCCTGATGCCACAGAGTCCCCAGGGAGCTTTTAAAATACCCCTGCCTGCCTCACCACCAGAGATAATTAGATAATTGGTCTGTGGAGAGGCTTGGGCAAAAGCATTTTGAAAGCTCCCCAGGGGTTCTACTGTGCAACATGAGCAGTCTGAACAACTGTTGTGAGCCCTCTGCTCCATGCTTTGAATGTGAGCATCCCAAGGTGGCAAGCTGTAAGTCCAGAGCAGGTGCCCTGTGGACCCTGATCCTCAGAACAGAGGTGCTCTGAGACACCAAGGAATGAAGGTGAGGTCTCTGCCTAGTTTGATGTTTTGCAACCTGTGGTCCAGGTATAGCAGAAACCCTGCAGCTTCCTCAGAAAATGCCTAAAGCTGAGGAGGGAGGGCCATCTTCAGAGGCTCAGAACTCCTTAGAGGCTAGGCCTGAGTACCCTAAGTCTCCACCCACCACAGAGTCTGCAGTGGATAAGGATGAGCAGGGGAAGAAGGACCGTCAGGCAGGTGGTTTCAGGGGCAAGAAATGGGAAACTGTAAATTCTAAGTGCAGGTCTATAAATTCTAAGTGCAGGTCTCTAGGTTTTAGTCCTGAGCTCTCTTTTTCTCCCCTGAACTGTAACTCTGAGAAAGGAAGACGTGCTTCTAGGGAATGGGAAAGTATGGGTGTGTTAGCAGTGAGGTGGTGAAAGAAGTAGTTACTTGAAGTCCAAAGTTAAAGCAAGAGATCCAGGTACAGAGTCAAATGCCCTGGGTCTCCTCATCCTGTATTCTTAGAAATTCAGTGCACCCTCCTGCTCAGAGGAGTGAATGCCTAAATCGACATTGCTGCACATAAGCACATTCTGCACACATATGTACATTCCCATGCAACATGCATGCCCAGAGGCACACTCACAGAGTGGCCAGTATGCACCCACAGGAATGGGCACATGCACCACAGGAATGGGCACATGCACACACACGTTCCATGCACAGATCTGCGGTCTGAAAGGATACCTTCTGTACCAAGATAGAGATGTTTTCTCTCCTGCAGAATCTCAGGCAGCAGCCAGCCTGCTGGCAGAGGCATAGCTTCATCACTGTCAAGCAATTCTTGTCAGATAGTGAGTGACATTTCCCATTCACCTCTCTAGTCCCCTTCTTGGGAACTTGGCTGTTTACCCTTGGGAGCTTAATGTACTACAGGGGGTGCTGGTTGAAGGAAAATGAAATATTTCTAGTCTCACCCCACCTCCTCTTTCTCCACAGAATTTTCTTTCTTATCTCTCCTTCACCTTCTGCACACCTTGGAGTTTATATCCTGGATTCCTCTGCTATAGAAAAGACCCCTCTTTCCACTCCTACAAACCAGCCCCATTGTGTGTATTTAAGAGCAATTTTGCACACATCTTGCTCTCTGGTGGGGCAGGTTTGCTGCCAGGGTCTGGCTCCCACTCTTGTTAGAGTAGACTAGACACCTACACACTCTGCCCGCCATCCATCCCTTTCTTCAGGTGCCACAGGCAAAGCTAGGTCCCACTTGCTGTTCCTGTAGCTTCCTGGAGCCTGGCTTGAATGCCTTGAAAATGACAGTATACCCCAGCTCCACAGCCTCATCTTCAACACAGGGCCTCAGCAAACATGGAGGTATGGAAATTACAGATAATTTGTGTGGGAGGAGGCAGCCTGCAAGAGGCATGGATACAGCCTTTCCCAGAAAAGCAGCTCAGGATAATATGGGGCCGGTGACAGGCTGAACACTGACTCGATGTCATGCAAATGTTGCTGATAATTATACTAAAAGTAGGGCAAATAGAACGTTCTTTGATGACCAACTTTGGAAGCAGGTTGGCAGCTGATGAAATAATCCTTTG